ACCTGCGATCCCTGCCTCGACTTGATACGCTAATCCAACCTATATATAAGAAAGTTAACGTGTTCAGGGTATTCGGTGGCGGCGGCGGCTTTCAATTCGCTGGCTTCATTGGGCGGTGTAGCGCTGCCGTTGGGATATCGACATTTAATCCTTGATTAGGAGCATCCCGTCGATGGAATCCAGGTATGGGGCCTGTTTGATCAGTTTCGAATTTTTAAAAACCAGTTTTTGCCTTTAGTTTCTAAAATCTGGATTTTGAGACAAAAAAAAACTGTTGGGTTGTTTGGATCCATTAGTTTTTAAGAATATGCCTTCATTTACTGCTATATACTAGGTCACAAAAACTGGATATCAACAGCTTCCTAGTTTTTATGAATCCGACAAAAACTGGCAGCAAAAACTAGTTGTGTTTGAATCTCATCCAATTTCTAAAAGCAAATTCTTAAAAACTAGGAGGGATCCAAATAGGATCAGGGTCGAGATAGTCCAAATCTTTTCTGTAGTGATCGATTTGTTTATTCCAATCTAATGTCCTTACACCTTGCAGATTCGGAGGTGGTTGATTCCATGATCTCGTTGCTATCACACTACAACTTAAATCAAATCATCAAATACTCTTGGTCTTTTACCGGGAGCATCATCGGCCGACCTGAGGAATTGTCACGCGGCTACAGTGCTTCCATGAATCAACATGAATCAACAGGTTTAGATAGTCCAAATCTTTTCTGTAATGAAGCTAGGAAAACAGGAAGTAGCTAGCTACGCCCTTACAAGAAGTGCTTGCTGAGCAGGTCAGTTGGTGCTCGCAATGCAAGAAGCAAGGAACCAGGTAGCCGGCCGGCGGCGTGCAACGTCGTCCGCTGGGTCGCAGGCTTGCAAACGCAAGCAACTCGCGACTTCAGCACAGGACAGCAGGCAACAACAGAAGAGGCAGCAGCCCAGCAGATCGAACTCGAACGCATGCAAAAAAAAGTATGGATCTTCTTTTGCCCAAAAAAAAAGTATGGATCTTCTCTCTCCAGGTCCCGCCGTCCTTTCTTTTTTTCATTTATATATAAGACCAAAAACGCCGTGGCCTAATGGCCCAGGTTTTATAAGAAGCTTATTAAAAACATGGTTTACTGTTGCTGGGAATACAAATCAAGTGCATGCAAGATAAACTCTCCAATGCAAGCTACGTACCAGAATCAAGGATGTTCAGGTTACATTTAGTACTCTTTGCTGCAACTGCCGAGTACTGCAGTACTTGTTTTTTTTTAAAAAAAAACGAAACCGGCAGTAGAGCGATCTGTGGCGTGAATGACTGCAAAATGGCTCTTTGAATCATCTTCATGCCTGGCTTCTCAGATACTACTGTATTCTGTGCAACATACTAGTGAACAGAAGGTTTGTATTAAGCCCACTAGTTTGGTTTCCGTTTATTGTTGATCGTGATCCAAACTAGGCGGTTTTCTAATAGAAAATAATGGTCAATTCCTACCATTGAGGTCCCCTAATTGGGATCACGATTATTAACCATGATCTTGTATTTTTGTCATAATTAATCCTGTTTATCTCTATAAGATCGAGTCAATTCCCTGATTACCATTCAATGTTGTCAGTGCCGTGCAAACTGTATGTAACGCCTGTTAAGTAGAGGGTAAAAGGACCATTATTTTCCCCTTCGTTCATGCACAACAATGTCAAACAAGTTTTTCAGTTCTGTATTTGCCATTCTTAGTTTTTCTTCCCCAACCACATCCGATCCACTCACGGTCACAAGCAAGCCATGGTTGTGGTCCCTCTCCACTGAGCTAATAACAAGCCAAGCATCTGCCTTTATTTCCTTCACATATAACAATGAAACAACTGAATCACCGGCCATTCATCAACGGGGTCGGCTTAGGACACCTGCAGCAGTAAACATCGATTTGCTCTCTATAGAAGCTATATGTCGTGCCAACTCGACATATAGAGAGCACAAGCGACTAGTAGTCCAACAATCCATCTTTACCGCTCGCAACCAGTTTGACATAGTGCCATAGTGTCTGACCAATGCCCACCCTACACCTATGGCAGCCATGCCCTGCACGCTATTGCCATGCTCCCACTCCGCATGTCGTATGATGGCGGCCATGGCTACGACCCGTCTATATATTCTGTCTGCCACTACACCAGCCACGACTCTAGCTCGCCAAGATCTCACCAGCACCCCTACTTTGCTCGTGTCGACGCCTATGCCTGCCGCTGACCGTGGCTCCGCTTCTCTCCCTCACCTTCCTACACTCCATCTATGCGGTGGTGGCCACTAGCCCGCTACACCCCTTGCCTAGGGCCATGTCGTCAGCACCGCCCACCAGAAAGAGTAAGGGCCACACGCGCGCTACGAGTGTTGGGGGCACTGATTGGGCTGCCACTGCCCAAATCTGCTCTGCCCCAACTTGCAGGCCACCCACGGTTACTCCTGCTGGTGCGCGGCAGCCGTGGATGCTGCCGCAATATGTCTCACATACGGCAGCTGTAGGAGCTCAAGCGGATCATGAGGGGTGGGTCAAGGGACTTGCCATTGCCATTGCCGTATGGGGACGAGGCCCATAGGTGCACGGTGCACCTTGAGGCCTATATGCGCGAGAACTAGGCACTCTTGTGGTCCTTCGACACCATGGCGTGCAACTGCCTCTAGGACACACTCGATGCCAAGGATGTCGCATCTGTCACAAATGCGGCTGGACTCGAGGAACTTGTCCATGGGGTGGGGATGGAGGGTTGGCTCGTTGTCTTTCTCACTAGTCTGGAGAGGAGGATGGGAGGGGGCACTTTGCGGGATGGAGTGGAGTGCAAGAGAAGAGCCTGATGATTGAATATTGACTAGGCCCAACCCATGTATAACTTGAATGAATGATTAAAGGCAAAATGACAATTTTTAAAAAATCATGCCAGCTGGCAGATGATGACAGAAAGAGGTAACAGTGTTGACAGCAGTGGCATAAAGAGAACAAAAAACTACAATGGTGGTACAAGTGTTAGGGTAATTTTTCTAGGGGCCTATAGAAAATTTTGACAACATTCAGGGCATGTAACGAATTCTCTCTATTTAATAAATAGGGCCCCGACTAGGGTTTCCTGTGCACACCAAGTCAACTCGGTCCACACAACCCTTCCTCCTTTGCAACTCCGCCACCGCCGCCGTCCCACGCTGCCCGCAATCCCCACCTCACCCTCGACCATGGTCGTCCTAATCCAAGCACGCTCCTTTAGATCCAACGCGAGCGCCTCCACCTCCACCACCTCCCTGGTTCCGATGCCGCAGTTCCGGCCTCCACCGCTTCCCGATGTGAAATTCGATGGATCTCGACGCGCTGACAACCCCACCCAAAAGCCATCCCTGATGAACTGCCTCACCGTTGTCGCTTGTACCACCGACGCTCGTGTAGTGACCCCTTCTAAGCCTGGAAACCATGGACCTGGACCCTTCCCCTCCCCCTCCTCACGGGAAACCTCGAACCCTAGCGTTGGTGAATTCCTTTGTCTCCAACGGCAGCAGGTGAGTTCTTCATCGCTTTTCCTTATTTTTTCTTTATGTGTCCCAAATGCCTAAATCATACCTACGCAATAATAAAAGTTTACCTTATAAACCTCCCTCGTATGGGCACCTTGTAGCCACTAGCATGCAGATTTTTTATAGAAAAGTTATATATTTACTACCAATCTATCTATCTAGTTCATAGCCACTACACCGATAAAATCATCTAAATCTAGCTCGCACCAGCACCACAATGAGTCATGTCACCACCAAATTTCAACGCTTGGACTACACCCAGTAAACTTTCACGAGAAATTTGTTTCAATGCCATTAGAATCTTTAACTCATCCCTTACATGACGTTGATTATCCCTTAATTTCCATCGTTGTTAATTTTGTACTAAGCCTCACACTTGCGCTGTTATGGCAACTCTAGTGCCCCGTCGATAAAAGCAGCAACGTGTTCCTCACACTTGTGCCGTTATGGCAGCTCTAGTACCCGTCGATAAAAGCAGTAATGTGTTCCTTCGTCTCAGAAGGCAGCAATGTTCGATTCACCTTTGGATGTTCAGTTAGCTCCACATTGTACTTGGGTCCCACCTCTAGAATCTCAGATCATCTGGACTCTGGAGACTTGTTATGAATTATGAAGGTTAGGTACAGACCCGCCTGAGAATTCCTCCCTGGGAGCAGTGATCATTCCCACCCCCACGGCCCCACCCCTAAATCTAGTCAAGACATTTCTATCTCTTTATATGAAAACACATGCACAGACATGGAAAAACAAACTGAGTATGTGAATTCAACATGTACATAGGTATGGAATCAATATGTAACATCAGCACATGACCAATGCTCTTTGATATAGAAATGGCAGAAAAGAGAGAGAGAGAGAGAGAGAGAGAGAGAGAGAGAGTTGAATGCATATGCATAAATAGGTAAGACTCCGCATGTTACATCTGAAGGCAAAACGAGCATACTTGACAGGGTTTTTTTTTTTTGAAAGGCTTGACAGGGATTTCTACTAAATACCACAAATGCTCAACTTGACAAAATGCTTGCACATGCCCTCCTGTTCTTACCAAAGAAATTTCTTTTTGAGAGACGCCAAAGGGTTTATACAACAAAATGGTATATATGCCATCCTGTGCAACATTCCAATGATAAACAGGTGGCAAATCACAAGGGACACCTCAAGTAAATCTTCTCCAGTTAAAACAAAAGAAAAAATCTCATCTGACAAATTACAAAGTTCCAGGGAAAAAGGCATCAATTGTCAAAACACATCATGCAAGTAACTAATCAAATTTGGGAAGGAAAGTATAGCAAAAACATAAAAAGAAATTAGAACCATTCGTTGCTTACTCATCAAGCATGTCACCAGTTAAAACAAAATATAGCGCTTAGTCTGTGACAGACTACAATATTCTTGGAACTAGATTCCAAATGTCAAACAATGCAAAGAAATGGCTAATCAGGTTTCTATAGAACAGTATAGCCTAACAATCAACCCACTCTTCAAACCCTACAAAGGGGTCAATTGTTGACAAATCATGTGCTAGCACATTATCCATGTGGTGATGAAGCATCTTGTACCTGAAGACAGGATAAATAAAATCAAACTGCGCAATCCTAGAGGCCTTATTTTTCGTCTGGAGAAGTTTGTGCTGATTTTCAATCCACTCACTGCTAGCGGTAGGCACTCGACAATAATCTATCTCAGAATACATTGACCCATAATATATCTGAAAAACCATCGACTCTAGCAACCTTGCATTAAGTATGAAGAACTTGGCAAAGTTGACATGTGATTTGTTGCCTCTGTAGTTTATCAACACAATTTTCTTCAGTGGAATGTCAATGGTCCTCAGAAGACTCCGGTATTTACGAGACCACACATTTGTTTCCCCTGCCTTTGTTGTCTGGGAAAAGCACAAGTGACATATAAAAAATGGTGAAAACCTAGCATTAGAAAAGGCATCGATGCGATTGTAAGTGACAAAAGAATTAATGTGGATGGGAGTAGGTTCGGTCACCTTGATGTACAAGGTCTCCAAGCAAGGAAAGCATTTCATGATGTCAATAACCGCATCCAAACTAAGATGGCTTTGCATTAAAGCTAAAATCTTCACAGTGGGTACCACAGTCATTGAGCTAACAAGGCGTGATCCCTACGATAAACACAGAATACATACAAAGGGTAAGTTAGATCATGACCGGTCAAAGAATTTTGGATTCCTCTGAAAGTGGAAGTAACAAGATACCTGGAAAATTGCGGACTCAAGCTCGAGCATGGGGTTGTCTACAGAGAGTTGCCCCAAAACATGCAACTTTGGTGCTGAGACTACAGTGATGACCATTTCCATATAATTCCTATGTGGAAAAAGTATCAATCTTTCTAGACAAGGGGCATCCTCCACTATGATCTGTTCGCACATGCCGCCGCGTCTCAAACTCAGCACCACACAAATGCTTCTAACGGTAGGAGACGCGATTCGGACTCGAGGGCAGTCAATGCCGTAAGATAGCATGAAGCTCTGCAGGTTAGGGCAGCCAGCGAGCAGGGATTGTAGAGAGCTCTCAGATATTGTGACATCCAAAAGGCTGAGCTGCTTGAGAACCGGAAAGTGAAATAGCGCGCTGGCATCGCTGCTTCCATCCGGGAATCCACTGCAGCCACCGAAGTTGGCAGCGTGAAGAGTGGACGAGAAGCGGTGCACCGATGCCGGCAGCGGCGGCGGGATCTCCGCATCTGGAGGACGTCCGTAGTGGAACGCAAGCTCCTGGAGGTTGTTGAGGGCGGGGGACCGGAGCCAGCCTTCCAGGGTCGCGGCTGAGCTGTCGCTCAACTTGTCGAAGTACAGCGCGGGGACGGTGAAGCAGCGGCCCGTGCCCTTGTGCGAGGAAAGGATGCTCGAGATCTCACCGAGGGAGAGGCGATCGTAGGGCACCAGCGCGCCAAGGTCGAGGTTGAGAGGATAGGTGCGCCATAGGGGGCGCCAGCGGGAGGAGAGCACCTGCGTGCGGGCGCTGTCCTTGGGTGGGAGGAGGGAGACGATGTCGCCGAGGATGCCGTCGGGGAGGCGGCTGATCCGGTCCTCGATGCGATCTCCTCCTTCTTCCCCTTCCTCCAGCCTTCTCCTCCACTTGGCTGCGGCGACCTTCCACATGGCCGCTCGTCGACCGGCGGCCGACGGGCCGGATTGGGAAAGGGGAATCGGAAATGGCCAGCCGCAAACCCTAGTCGACTGTGTGAGTACGTGATCGAGCAGTGAGTTTTTTTCTCTATATTTTGTTTTAGCAATAATGTTTTACAGATAGATCCATAATAAAATCATATTTTTGTTCAAATCTCAATGGATGATTCGCCTTCTTCTTATGGATTGAGCTTGGCATCTTTGAGGAATGCACTAGAACTTTCTTTGATGCCATCATTGCCAAGAACCCTAAAAAGACTGAGCACGCAGTGCGACTTCACTTAATTAAGCAACAGCCTGGCTTGTTAGTATTGCAATATCTTTTTTGTTTCCTTCTTTATTTCGTGATTTCTCTTCTGTTTTGCTTCTTGTATCTTGTACTCTGCAACCCTCTTGGCTGCTCTCAATAAATTCCAGTAGGGACCTCTGCCCCTCCTGTCATTAAAAAAAAAAAAGGATTACAACTTCACCATCGAAAAGCAAGCTGAACTCAAACCAGAAACTCACAGCACACACTTTTCTGAAGCCAATCGACCACCGAACAGCTTTCAATGTTAGTCCACTTCCCAGACAGCAGCTTCTATCTTCGGAATCGTTAGCTTCACTGTGAAAAATGTTATGCTTAAAAGCAGAAGCCATCTCTCCTCTTTGCACCATTTCTTCAGCTTCAACCACAGCTTTGTCCAGGGTAAAATTTCTGCACCAGAGCATTTGTTAAAGACAACCTCCTTGCCAACCAATCCGCATAGGGCTATTTCCTACTTGCCTCAAGTCTTACAATTTTTGGCACATCATCTGTCTTGTCTCTGTTCTGAACAACTACTATTTTGAGCAACAGATTTGCCATATCCTCTGAAAGACGTTCTGAAGACACAAGAGATTTCAGTTTCCACAAGATGCGTAGGGCATAAGATCAGTTAAAACATCTATAACTAGAAATTTCTTATTACTAAGCCACATCTGTTCAGTAGAAAAATGATCAGATAACTACCACAATCTACTGCATGGACCTGAAATAAAACATTACCACAATTGCTTGGCTACTACACACTCAAAGAACAGATGATGAACTGACTCCTTTTGACAACAAAATAAACAAGATGGGACATATGAAAGAAGTAATGTAAAATTGAAGTCATAGTTCTGACTGAGAGCAGCTCTGAAGCAGCTGGCAACACTCATTGATTACGCTTTCAGTGACACGATAATCAAATGTTTTTTTTTTTTGGAGGGAAACACGATAATCAAATGCTACTGTCATCCTTTTAATTGTACTTCTAGGTGATTCGACAGGAGTTCCTCGGCTTTCCAGTTTAGCTTTGGCAGCTGATCGCAAATGCAACCTGATTAGCATGCAGTTTCTGCCTAAAAAACAAGGAACACATATCTTAGTAAGATTAACTGATGTTGCTTTATCACATTAATAAAAAGAGAGAAGAGTCCAAAATTATCAGATTGCCTGGACACATCCAGATATGTTATCAAAAGCTAACAATGAAGAGTCATGTTAATCTGTTCTGTGCTTAAAATGATGTATATATATGGTATATCTCAAGGTTTATTGTGTGTGCGCGCCAGTGTGTGTATATACATATAATTGAATAATTCTCAGGAATTGTTCCATATTCTGGTTTTAGTTGACATGAATAGCTATCAGATATGCAGTTGATAGAGCCCCGGTGTTGACGCATGCAGGCAATGAAAGAGAAGCTAGCAAGGCATGCATTAGCATGCAAAAAGAGTGGGATCTAGTACAATAAAGGATATTAATCTCATATTGGAAATTGATAGGGATCTCATTCTCATAGTGAGAATCTAAATTATAGATAGCGAAATATAGAATCTAGATTCTAAATAATGAATATATAATCTGGATTCTAGATTTAAAAAGAAGGGATGTTTGGATCTGATTCTCATAGTGATTATGTAACTGGCGTGATGGGGGAGGGGGCTGGCATCAGCTATGGAGGTGGCGGCTAGGGTTTAGGAGGGTGGAGAGGGGGGGGGGGGAGAGGAGAGAGGAGGTGGCGGCAACAAAGAGAAAAGGGATAGAGGAAGGAGCAATAGCTCTTTTCTTGCTTGATTAGATTGATTACATCCTCCCTATATTTATAGTCCCTATTGGACTTGTGTTCCAAGCAACTAAGAGGGCTTATCCTTATAGATTGAATTTCCCTTTCCTAACAAACCAGATTATTAACATAATAATATTCATCTTATTCCTAATTTTCTTCGGAAGGCGGCAACGTGGGATTTGGCGCCCCAGCCTTGGGCGCGTGCGGCACCCCAGGGACGCGCTGGAAGCGGCGCAGCCAGCCCACGCCCTCCTTTGAGCCTCACTAGGCCCATGGATCCTGGGCTGCGGACCTCTTATGAGACGTGTTACATCTCCCCCCCTCTCCGATCAGCATGTCCTCGCGCGGAATTGCACTCCAGTCGTAAACGCTCTTATGAGGGGTAGCTTGGCCTAGTAAGATGGCTTCCAAGCAAACAATTAGACGACCATGAATCGGGTCGGCTAAAATCATGTTGTGGCATGTGCATTCAGGGACGAATTCCAGGTAGTAGAGTAGATTCCCGATGTAGCCGTAGAAGTAGTAGTGGTATGGTGCAGTGCCGTCCCATGGTCCGACCACTTGGCGAGTTGTGACGAGGAGAGGGCGACTTATTGCTGCCCCAACGGTGAAGTGGAGCATGTCGTAGGGTGGAGCGATGAAGTCGTGTATCCTGTTGGTGGTGTTGGGGATGACGTAGGCTGGAACGTGGCGCCAAATCGTGGCGCTAGAGCTGGTTGCTGGCGTTGTTTACTGATCAAGCATGGTGCCAAACATAAAGTGGCCCATTTCAAACTCCTGTGGTGAAAGGCGATCCAGGTTGGAGTTAGGTTGTAGCGCGATGTAGACGTTGTCGACGCGGAGGAGCTGACGACCCAAGTTGTTGATGAAGATGATCGTGACGGATGATATCCTACTGCCGTGAGGCCAAGGGCGCCCTAGCAGGATGCCCATTGGTGCAGTATTAGGTGCTCCCGTCGTTGGGGCTGGGTGGGAGCCAAGTGCTAGGAGTGCCATGTGCGCTAGCCCGTCCTGCAACAAGACCTGCAGAAGATCCGGTAGAAGTGGTGATGCTGAAGGGATGTAGATTCGGTTGTCGAAGAAGAGTAGTCATTGGGCAAAGGACCAGGCTGGGGCGGCCGTCCCACTGGAGATTGCGTCGGTGAGGTGTTGGAGTTCCTATTGTTGGAGGATAGCTTGGCGTAGATTGGCGAAGATGACGTCGGTGTAGCCGATGTAGTTGAGGGCGTCGGCACGTCGGCAGCGGCTTGCCCGGTTGGTGATGTCGCGGGGCGGCGAGGGTGGCACTCCCGATGACGCCCGCACCATCGGTGGTGGAGGTGGTAGGGCAAGGACCGTCGTTGGAGCATGTCGAGGTTGAGTGGTGGTGAAGTTGATGGGATGACCATTGCGGAAATATTGGAACTCCATGTTGTTGAAGTCCCAATTCAAGCGTCCGAGGCCAGCCAACCATGGTGTGCCCAAGACGACATCGATGTCATTTCCTATGTCGAGGAGGAAGGCGTCGATGTAGAAGATTTTCGTGTCGATGCTTATCAGAACGTTGAAGGATGTTGCTCGGCAGGGAGTCTCATTGTCGCTGCCCATGAGTATGATAGAGTTGATGCGTTGTTCTCGGAGACCGAAGAGGCAAGCGACGTTGACATCGATGATGTTGTGTGTTGCTCCCGTGTTGACCAGGATGTGGACGCCCGTGCCTGATATTACTCTTGAAAGGTACATAGGAGGCAGTCCCGTACCGCAGATTGGTTGGTACCTATCATCATCATGAGGCTGTTGTCGATGTCATCAGTGTCGTAGTCGTTGATGGTTGTGATGTCGAACAAGTGCTTGCATTGTGGCCACGAGTGAAGGGCTCATCACAGTTGAAGCAGAGTCCCGCACGATGCTGTTCCGCCATCTCCTCGGGGGTGAGGCACTTGAAGAGGCGCGGTGGAGGAACCGGAGTTGTGTTTGATGTTGCTGTTGTGGTTGTTGATGTCGAGGGGGTTCCTTTAATGGAAGTGGTCAAGTGGTTGGTTTGTTGGCCGGAGCTTTGTTGGCGTCAGCCATGACTGCTAGTCATCACTCGTATGCCCTAGCAAGGGACATGGCCATCTCCATGTCCTGCGGGTTCTGAAGTTCAATATCTGTTTTCAAAGGTTCGAGGAGGCCTACGGTGTACATGTTCACTTATTGCTGCTCGAGGGTTCCTGCATGAGCGACGTGTGCCAGGAAGCACTTAGTGTAGTCGTCGACAGTGCCTGTCTTGCGTAGAGATGCGAGCTCTCCTAGGGGTTATGTCTGGTTTGGGGGCCGAAGCGCTTATTGACACAGCGGGCGAAGAACACCTAGTTTGTCACCGCTTTCTCTTGTGCTAGGCGCATATACCATTGTTGTGCGCCACCTGTAAAATGGTAAGATGCATACCAGACTTGTTTGGTTTCAGGGGTCTTTAGGCCGCTAAAGAATTGCTCGCAGTGGTTGAGCCATGGTAGAGGGTCTTCCTTGCCATCATACATCGGGAACGCCAGCTTGTGGGGGCGCGGTGCTAGTATAGGAAAGTAGCCCAGCGAAGTTCCCGAGTGTGGCGGTGGTAGATTTGTCTTGGGGGGCTCGGACTTGTTGAAGTTGTCGAAGAGCTTGCCCTCCAAGTCGTCGACAATCCCCAAGATTGCCGATGATGTTGAGGACTCCTTTTGTTGCTTGAGGAAGGCTCGGTCGGCTTCCTCCATGGATTTCTTAGCATCGGCCTCTAGCTTAGCGGCGGTGGCCTCATGGTCACATTGGGCACGAGCAGCTACAGAGGCGGCATCGTCAGTTTGGCTATGTTGTTCGATGTTCATGAGGCTGTCATCGATGGTGGTGAATCTGTCGGTGATCTCATCGAACTTTAGGTGGAGATTGGTGATGAGTTTC